GAGGACGGCGGTGTAACAGAAGTAATACTGCTCAGGGGTCTGGATGCTGAAGGCGCGCTGGGTCCGCATCCGTAGCACTGTCTGGTAGATGTTCAGCGTGCCCACGTCCTGCAGCTGGGACAGGCAGATGTCCAGCGCACAGAAGGTACCTGGGGACAATGATGGGGACGGTGTCAGCCACCAGAGAGCCATCATTGCCCCCTCCAAGAAGCAAAGCAGGGCAGCGGTGGTCCTCAGCCCCCCACCAACTTCCCACACAAGACCGTAGGTATTGGGAGAAGCGCGGCAGAGACTTCTGCCAGGTCCGATGGCTGCAGAAAGTCCTGGGGACATGTGTCCTGGGTCAATTGGCTTGCAAAGACACCCTCGGGCTCCGGGATGGAAAAGCCCTGGCGAGGCTGGACTTACCCTGCCACCACCAAGACCTTCACCCCAGCAACGGGGTTACCCCGTTACCTGTCCTGCCAATGCCAGCGCTGCAGTGCACCACGACCGGGGGTCCCCCGGGGTGACCCTTGAAGCGAGGTCCCAGGGCGCTGACCGCCACCCTCTGCTGCTGCTTCACAGCCCCCAAAAAGTCGATGAGAGTGGCCGCAGAGGAGGGCACGCCGTAATCTGGCCAGCTCAGGTACTGGAAGTGGGACACCAGCCGCCGCTCCCTGGTCTGGGGGAAAGCAGAGGGGTGGGTTAGAACCTCTCCCCTCCTCTGCCCCTTCTGTCCCCGTACTGTCCCCCACCAGGCTGCTGCGGCCACACACCTCCGAGCTGTGGATCTCCAGGATGGTTTTCTTGTAATGGTTGAGGTTCTCCATGCCCAAGTTGGTGATGGTCAGGGCCCCGAAGCACATCTGGAAATCCTTCTCCAGAGGCCAGTACTGGCCGCACTTTCTCCTGCCTCCCTCCTCCAGCCTGGGAGCAGAAGGACAAGCTGATTCTGCCCTCCTCACTCTGCTAGGGACATGTCCCATGCCACCCAGCCTTAGTCCTTTGGGGATCCCACAGGGACCAAACAGTCTATCCCTGATGTGCTGTCCCCACCCTGCAGGGCTCTGGCTGGCACGACGGGTGCCGGGTCTCACTGCAGAGAGCACAGCGCTGCTCATCCAACAGCAAACACACTCATTTTGCAAAGAAAAACGGGGCTGTGCCCCCCTCATGAGCACTCACCTTGTTGTCATCACGATCACCAGAACGTTTTGCTCCCAAACCATGCGCCAGAAGTCACCGTAGGTGTTTTCCAGAGGCCCTGCAGGGACAGTCTGCATGTCAGCCCAAAACTTGATGGACTTGGGCAAGTCCCTTCACCCCGCAGCCTCCACCAGCCCCCCTCACCCTCCTCAGGGGACCGCAGGCCCCTCCCGTGGGGACCAACCCCGGTGTGGATCCATCAGCCCTGCCTGGAGCTGCCACCGATCGTCCCCCCAGCACTGAATCCCCT